AAGTCCCCTCTCAGCCTTCTCTTTTCCAGGCTGAAGAGTCCCAGGTTCCTCAGTCTTTCCTCATATGGCTTGCTGTGCAAGCCTCTAATAATTTGGGTGGCCCTTCTCTGGAGTCTCTCAAGTTGTACTACATCCTTATTAAAGTACAGCGCCCAGAACTGGACTCAGTACTCCAGTTGAGATCTCACCAGTGCTGAGTACAGTAGAAGAATCACATCCTTTGGTCTTGCTGGCAATGCACAGAATGATACATGCCAGGGTATTATTTGTCCTGCTAGCAACAGAATTGCACTTCCAGCTCATATTCGTACTGTGGCCTGTTATTACCCCCAGGTTCCTTTCATTCACAGTGCTGGTCAAGTTGGCGTTGCCAAGCCTGCAGGTGTGCAGGGGATTGTTTGTCCCCAGGTGGAGCACTTTACATTTCTCAATGTTGAACTTCATCTAGGTCTGACTCGCCCAACTTGCTAGCCTGTCTAGATTTGCCTGTATCTGTAGCCTATCTTCAAGTGTGATCACACTTCCTCATAACTTGGTGTCACCTGTGAACTTGGCCAGCACTCTTCATCCCCTTATCGATTGATGAAGATATTGAAAAGTACAGGACTGAGCACCAACCCCTGTGGACACCACTGCCCACTTCTCACCAAGATGACACAGATCCATTCATTAGGACTGTCTAGGCCCTACTCTGCAGCCAGACTCATACCAACTAACCGTTTCTCTACAATGCATGTATAGTTTTGCTTTGTGTTTACAATATATTCTGTAGCTGCCAGTCTGGAAGCACCCTTCCCCACATTTTGCCTGGAGTCATTTCTTTGCAAATGCCTTGAACAAACATAACACCTTGCTCCCAGGGAGCTATGGGCAAGGCAGTCAACCTGCCAGGTTTTGGGGGGCTCACTGTGACCCAGCACAAGAACTTGCCTTGCTCCTCAGTCCTTGTGGGTGCTGTGGGGCTAAGCAAGAACCATACTGCTGTGCAGTAAACTCCCTTTGAATTGGCAACTTGAAAACAGTCAGGGACAGTCCCAAGCACACACACAATGGCCAGCCTGCTAACATGGGGGAGCTATCAACTGACCCACACCATGCAGTTGACATCAGGCTGCATTATGGGACTATCCCACCACACACTCTATTTAAGGCTCAGTGGAAACCAGCCACAAATACATTACACATATTTTGTGAAATACACTTGTGGCTGGCTTCCCGTTTTGTCACACCATTAATTCCCTGAATGTGTGGCAAGGTTACTATTTATGGCATGATTAACAGGCTAATCACGTTTTAAGTGTAACGTCTTTACTAAGAAACCTCTAATTATGTGGAGGTTCTCTACAAAACTTTTATTTAAAAAGAAAAAATAAACAAACTACAGAAATACATATCTTTTTAGTAAATCTTTTTATACATTCATGAGAGAATGTCAACTCTTTTTATCAGTATCTTGAAGCATATTAAATGAGATAACAATTTAAATCACTAACTTAAAATAGCCTTTTAAATCACAAAGGTCTGAGTGCGTGTACAGGTTTCAAAAAGGGAATAAAGATAGGAGAAACTGTGGTTAGGACTCTTGACTGGGACTCTACAGCTCTGGGTAAAGTACTTTGCTCTGCCACAGACTTCTTTTGTGGTCTTGGGGGAGTCATCTGCTTTCTCTGTGCCTCAGTTCCACATCTGTAAAATTAGGATAGTACTATTTCCCTCTGTCTGCTGAAATTATAGGCTCTTAGAAGCTGGATTTCTCTCTCATTATGTGATTGCACAGCATCTAGTGTAATGGGAACCTGATGTTGGCTGGAGCCCCTAAAAGAAACAATAAATTATTAAAAAGAAAAGCATGAGATTGAAATTCTAAACATGTAACAGCTTCTATTCAAAAGAGCTGTGAATGAATCTTGGATGACATATATTTTCATGATATAGTCCAGATCAATGTATAAATGATAAACCCAATTGTTTCCATGAATTATCGAGATAATCTTTACTGGAGGTATCAAGATATTCTCTGTTGTAAATGACTACCTGTAAAATAGGGAGACAAGAGTATTTTGTTGACTTTTGCTATCTGAAACCAGTCCTAATGTGAAATCATGAACTTTTATCAATAACATCTTTTAGACTTTAGCCAACTGAGCATTTTTCAGCATAATTATTGGTTGTAAAAGTATTATGTTAGTGTACAGTATTTTGGTGTAATTGCAATCTATATATGACCTCAGAGCTCACTTTTCAGCTGGTAAATTGAACTACAAACCTCTGTGGTATTGTTTATGGAAAATTCCATACGCTTTTTAAGGACTTTTGACCTAGATTCCTTAATGTTTTCCTAAAGAGAATTTTCCAGGCTTTACCTAGAGACTTGTTAGGTAAAACACACAGGAAATCAAGGAAAATTACATTTCAGTGTTTTGTTTTCTGAAGTGAAAGATCCCATAATCAAAAAGAAAAAGCAAACCTGCCAGAAAGTTGCCACTGTGCAGTACAACCATCTGGAGGAATTTATGCACTCAATAGTTTATCATTACAGACAGAGACAATGTACGAACCTGAGTAAAAAGCAAACACAAATAGAAGAAAATAAGGGATTTTTAGGGATGTTTACTTCATAATTATGGAGTGAAAGAGTAATCACAAACAGGGGCCAGTAATTTAGAGTTTTCTTCTTTCTGTTGCTGAAATTCTGAAATGATTTTACTGTCAGGTTATCACAAGAACAAAGATAGTCCTAAGAATGATTTGTATAAATATGTTGCAAACCTGACTATGGAGGACCCCAGAGCTCTGAGTTTCTCCCTTTTATGTTGCTACTTGCCCCAAGGAAAAGACTGAGGTTGCCCTGGGATGGCCGCCTACCCCAGAAACCCTCCTGCCCTTATACTAGACCCTGCAGCAGCAGTGAAGAAATCTCTGCCAGCCCCAGGTGGCCTACGCCATTGGGTTAGGAGAGAAATTTTTTGGTCCCTTTCTCCATGGAGAGGGCTAGCATGGAATATCACTCAACTAGAAATCACTTCTTCCACAGACAATCAGTAAGGGGCCAAACAACAACAAGATTTTCATAGATTTCATAGATTTCTAGGGTCATTGTTTATTAGTTGGTAGGGTCGGAAGGGACCTGAGCAGATCATGAAGTCTGACCCCCTGCCATGGCAGGAAAGGATGCTGGGGTCAAACAACCTCAGCTAGATGATTATCTAGCCTTCTTTTGAAGACCCCCCAGGGTAGGAGCAAGCACCATTTCCCTTGGAAGTTGGTTCCCAATCCTAGCCACCCTGACTGTGAAGTAGTGCTTCCTAATGTCCAGCCTGAACCTAGTCTCAGTCAACTTATGGCCATTATTCCTACTTACTCCTGGTAGTGCTCAGGGGACCAAGGTTTCTCCCATTCCCCGCTGGTCCCCCTTGGTAAATTTATAGACAGCCACCAAATCCCCTCAGCCTTCTCTTGTGGAGGCTGAACAGGTTCAGGTCCCATAGCCTCCCCTCATAGGGCCTGTCCTGCTGCCCCCTGACCATGCAAGTGGCCCTCCTCTGGACCCTCTCGATGTTGTCCACATCCATCCTGAAGTGCAGCTCCCAGAACTGGATGCAATACTCCAACTGTGGCCTGACCAAGGTCACATAGGTCGGAAGGGACCTATTAATTCATCGAGTCTGATCCCCTGCTCTGGGCAGGAAAGAGTGCTGGGGTCAAGTAACCCCAGCCGGGTGCTTATCTAATCTCCTTTTAAATGTCTCCAAGGCCAGGGAAAGCACCACCTCCCTTGGAAGCCCATTCCATATTTTGGCAACCCTCACCATAAAGAATTTTTTCCTGGTGATTTATTATATAGGATAAAAGGTCTACACAAGCAAAATGGACTATAGATTTGGAGACAGGAAAACAAGTCAGGTTCCTCATCCTGTCATCTAGCTATACCTTAGCCTTCCTGAAAGTCTTGGCAGCATCACCAGAAATCAGCCTTCCTGCTAAATTCTGCCAGCCCTGACTGCTGGGGTTTTCTGACCCTTCCTAGCCCACAGGTAACTGCCTAACTCCTTCCAACCAGCTCCTCCCCCCCGCCCCCACCAGCACTCTCTAGAACAGTGGTTTTTAACCTGTAGTCCATGGACGTCTGCCAACTATGTCTAAGGGGTCCTTGAAACAAGACTACGATCAATCAAAAGGTTGTAATTGTTCACATTTACAATTCAAAGGAGTCTAAAAACCATTCAAAATTTCCAAAGTGGTTGACACCTCCATTTGAAATTTTTTAGGAGTCCACAAATGAAAAAAGGTTGGAAACCACTGCTCTAGAAAGTTCTGGTCGGCTTGAGATAACCAGGATTCCTTTGGTTGGCTTTCCCACTCTATCAGATGCCTTTGCTATAGAGGAGTTGATTTCTCCACTACAGGGGGAGAATATCTTGGGGCCTAACTCCTTCTGCCCATGTCTGGGAGTGGCAATTCTTTTTGCCCCAGATCACAACAGCAGGAGAGATTCAGCAACTCTGATCAAACTTTTTTCCATGATGAAACCATAAACAAAACCGTAAAGATATATAGCGGCATAAATGGATACAGTATAATATTGGCTGTCCAATGAGATCACACATACCAAAGCAGTACAGCAAAACACAAGAAGACATTCAAGACATGCTGCAAATTCCCCAAATGTAACAGGGTATGTGTTGACAATTTACCATATTTTATGATTTATAAATCAACACAGTGTATAAGCCAACCCCAATTTTATTATCAAAAAAATTTGGTTTTTCAAATATCCGATGTATAAGTCGATCTTTACTTTGATCTTCATCAAAGCAACAAAAAAGGATCAAGCTCTTGTGCTCGCAGGGTCCAGGGAATTTGGATCGGGCCCCTGGGAGCTTGAGCACCAACCCGGCCTGCTGGCAGCCCCCCGGCCAGGCTCAGGGAATTCCACCACCATGGAGGGAAGGACTGCCCCCCCCTGGAGTTTAGGGGCTGGCCAGTCCACCGGCAGCTCAACCCCCAGCCATGGAGGAGGGGTGGGCAGGCAGGTTCCACTGAAAGCAGGACTGGGCCCTTCCCCACTTCTGCCTTCAGCTGGCTCCTGTGGCCAGCAGGATGCATGGTGCTGTCCAGGAAGTAGTCAACTTCACCCCATGGACAGCATGGGGTATCAGGCAGGGGTGGGGGGAGGAGGCTGGTCCTGCCCAACACCCTTAGCTTCCCATCACACTTCTAATGGGGTGAGACAGCTGCTTCCTGGGCAGTGCCAAGTATCCTGCTAGCTATAGGATCCTGCTGATGAAAGAAGCAGGGAGGGGCCTGATCCTGCTTTTGCCAGAGCCTGTCTGCTCTGATCCCATGGCCCGAGGCAAGCTGCTTGTAGGCCGAGCAGCCCCTGAGCTGGCGGGGAGGGGGAGTGGGGCAGTCTTTCCCTCCACAGCAGCTGCACCTCCCCAGGCCCAGCCAGTTGGGCTACTAGCTGGGCAGGTGCTGCCCAAGATCCCAGAGGTCTGATCCAACTTTCCCAAAGTCTGGAAACCGTGTATAAATCAAAGTGGAAACTTAAGGGTAATTTTGGGGGGTTTAAACCTCAATTTCTAAGCTGTGAAATATGGTATATATCAACTTATAATGATTTGCTCAGTGGATTCACCATTAGTTGAGTCACCTATGTCATTTTTTAAAGGGGTGATATTCTTTTTCATCAAACTCACTGAATACATCCATGGATATGTTATTTATAAGACTACATAAAAACATGTAAGTCTCTGATCTTAGGTTACTTGAATTCTTTGCTTTAAAGGTTTTACTTGACCTTATATTGCCCCATCAGCAAATTAGATTTAGGTCTTGAAGTACCCAAGAGCTCTAATTGTATGTATATTCTGCAATTCATTAAAAAAACATGCTCTATAACAGCCCTACGATATCCTTATTTGTATGCACATCAAATGTAATCTAAATAATCTGAATTTACAGAGAGCTTTAATTTTTCTGAAGTATTTAGATGTTTCATAAATATTCATAATTTTTATTCAGTGTTGACAAGCATTTCTTGAACTGTTTGAGTGAGAATAATTTACAATAATTTTTGGAAGCAGCTGGAACAGATAACTTGTCTGCTCAAGAACACCTAGAAATATGAAATACAATCCTTTCCCACCAAAAATAACTGAGCTGATTGCCCCAGGTATGACAAATATGGAGGACAACGAGATTACAGTTTTGAGACAGTAATGAGAATGGCTTATGTTTGCTATTCCTCATTCACACTGCAAACTTGTCATGAAAATGGATTACCTGCAGTTCTGCACTATTTTCAATTCTTGTCTTGTCGTGATAATAAGACATCAGAAGTTTAATGTTCAATATAGCCTGTGAAATACAATAGTATATAAAGATGTGTGGATATTAAAATACTTGCTACTGCAATCTCTTCCCTTATATCTGTATACTCGTGAGGCTATCAAAGCAGCTTCACTAGTGCTTTTACCTACTGCATTTTTGTTTCTGGGAATTATATTACAGCTTTAGGAGGAACATAGAAATCTTCTCTAGCAAGGTGAGAAGAAATAAATGCTTTGGCTTGCTGGCTACTTCCACATCTGGGGTTACCCATATGTTCACAATATGTTCCTCTCCATATCATTTTTTTCACAATGTATTACAAGATAATATTCTCTTTTGTATTGACTCTATTTTTTCCTTTTAGTTTTTTTAGCCTGGGGTGCATTTCTGAAAGGTGCTGAGGGCTTGAGTGCTTTCAATAGATGTTGGTGCCAAGGAACTTGTGAAAATCCTTCTAGGTGCCTTTCCACATCACTAAAAGCCTTTAAAAATCTGGTCCTCAGTGATTTAGGAACATGAATTCTATTTATTAAACTGTACTATTTATTAACTGTACTTACAATCCTGTCTTGCAAATGCTTACTGATCTCTTGTGCATAACTGTGGTCCCACTGGACTCACATGAGTGTCCATGTAATTGGCTGAAAAGGCGGTGCTTTGCCAGGGACTTGAAAAGAGCACAAAGTAGAGAACATGGCTGGAATGATAGCCTTTACCTTGCTGGCAAAAGTATGCAGACATCACCTACAATCCCAGTATTGTGTTACTTATCTCCCAGTACATAAGGACCAGGAAAGTCTAGTGTGGGGAGCAGTGAGAAGATAAATTAGTATTTCCTTTCACTCTACCTGAGATGTAGTGAAAAGAAGTCCTAATATCTCCTGGTATAATTCAAAGCTGCTTCTAACCATTGTTCAGTGTAACATGTATATATTTACATTCCAATAGATACAATTTAATATATGTAATTTCTTTATTGTAATTATATTAAAATACTTACAGTGATAGGCACATCAAAGAGCTGTATTTAAATAGATGTATATTGTATTCATGCATGTACATAGATACAATGTACCACCAAAGCTTATAAATTGTTGTGCTGATGTTTCTGTAGTACAAGGGAGAGAAATCTTTATTACAATGTAGTGGCTCTGCCTAGATACTGTAATAAAGAGAGTACCATATGGTATCAGCAAAACACTAACTTGGTGTTTTACTTGACTTCAATAGGAGCAGTTCTGCACCCATATCCAGGATTAGTTGTGTCTGTGTGACTTCAAAACAGAGTTCGTGAATCCAAAAATAACTTATCTAATTAAACTCCAGGTTAAAAAAAAAAGAGTGATTTCTTCATATTTTAAGACTAAGCATGAGAAATTTGAGGCCAGAAGGAGCTTTTCCTGTGAAAGTTAAACAGAAAGAAATGCAAAAAATGGGCTAATAAAGGAAAGCATGTTGCATCTTTACCTGTGGTGTCCCAACCACTGCACCATACCGTAAGTGTGTGTGTAATACTTCTAAAAATGTCATTAGAAGAGATTTTGTCACTTCAAACTAGCTAAATTTACAGTAAAATATTTCTAAATGCTTGTTGTTGAAATACATCTGTTTTGATTCCTCAGTAAAGAGAGTGGAAAGGCAAGAAGCTCCAACTTCTGTTTACTATGGCACTGACTCAAGATAAGCCTTAAAATTACTTTTTAGTGTACAAACAGTGTGGTTTCCCCATCAAAAGCGTTTTTGTTATAAAAGAGTTTTATTCAGGAAAACATTGGGGACACTCACTTTTTAATTAGAGCAGCAAACTTCTGACCAGTCTTAGGCCAAAACTATGGGATTTTATGATGCTTCTTTTCCTGATAATAAAACAAACAACAAGTGCAGCAGAACCAATATCATCTCATGGGGATTCTCAAAGTTCAGCTACACCGAGAAAAAATAAACCAGAAACTGTAACACTGAGTGTGCTTTCTTAACTTTTTGAGGACTTATTTAAACCCTGTGGAGGGGGAGGTTAGCTCATGGTGGTTTTTCCTGTGTCAATGACCCTCGTAGTGTTAGAAATGTTAAAAACACATGTTTCATTAATTTCATGTCCTCATAGATACACATCCTCATATTTAACTTCATTTTTATCGGAGTTTATTTGCATTTGTTTTTTATTAGTTAACTAAGAGTAGGTCAAATGTAAGATTAGATACTTTTTTTTCTTGTCCTCAAAGGAATAAGAGTTTTCCTTTCACTGAACATTTTAGTAATTCTGGATACTCACAGTAGGTCATTGTGCTCAGTTATTTTAGCTCTTCAGTAGAATTTAATCTTAATCTAACTGACTTTGAAAAATTAAATTTTAAGACCACCCAGAATAGCACATAATCATCTGATACTTAAAATATTTAAAATAAATGTTATATTTTTTTTATGAAGACTGACTTCAATAAGATTCAAATTAAAACCAATCAGCATGACCAGTTTTTGCATAAGCTGAACCCCCCATCCCTCCACCCCCAGATTCCATCACATAATAAAGCACAATAAACCAAAATAAGAATGTTCTTAATTTTGAACATTCTGTACTACTTTTATGTAAATGCCATCGTTCCTTGTACCCTATTTGTGCAAGGTTTGGGGCTCTGCTGATGAGGTCAAAAAGGACCGTTCTATGGAGCAGGATGTGTTGCATCTATACAGTTTGGTAGAGTGAAAAGGAGTCAACATGGGGCTTGTACACAGTTTTCTGATTTTTAAACACTTAGCATTTTTTAATATTTGAATTTTAAAATTGTCCCTGATCTAACAGTGCAACAATTGGCAATTCTAGTCAGGGCTGAATTGTTGTGTTCTGGTTTCTCTGAGAGATTAACCTACCTAGAAGGTTTTCTAAGTAAAGCCACTAAGGAAAATTTAATACTTTGCAAACATGTTTGTTGGGAGGGAGGTAGAAGGCTGTCAAATAGAGATAGGAAGACTTTATTCCAGCGTCTCAGTCTGGCAGGTTCTGGGACAAATCATAGAAAAATTGCTGCAAAAAAGCAAATGTATAAGAACTAAGAAGTTACTTAAATAATAAAGAATAAAAAAATAGAAAATCTGGGATGGTGTACATTGCTGTAATTAACAGGTAAGATTTTACACCTCAATACTACAGTAAAATACAGATATTCTGGGCACCTTTGCATGAGATGTTGACTGTACAATAGCCTGATACTACTGCACAGTAGTGTTGCGTGGCAAAAACTGTACCAACATGCTACTGTGCAATAATATTAGGCTACTGCACAGTAGCATCACTTATACGGTGTTTGCCAGCACTACTGCACATTAACTCCAGTTACTGTGCATTTATTTAATACTTGCTTATGCAAGTACTGTGCAATAACCACTGCGCAATAGCATCTCATGGAGATGCACCCACTGAGGTTGCTGAAAGAGAGGCAATTTGGAAATGGTATGCTAAAATAATTGACTGAAAAACATTCTCTGGAAAGAATGAAAAAATGTAATAGAAACCCCCCTGTGAAAGTGTTACCCTCACCCCAAGAAACAGAACCCACTATAAAAAAGATGAACCCATTGGTGAAAAAAATGCATCTGAGAGCTGCAGCTCTTGGGATCCACATCATGATTTATTAGTCTGAGCACTTGAGCTGAGACAGGAACTATTGTTTGCTAACAAGATGACAACTTTGACCTAAGGTACAGTCCCTGTCCCTGTCCAAAGCACGTTCCTTCATTCAGTCCTAATAAGGTTACAGAACAACTTGTGGATACTGTGATCTAGCCTTATTTAAGAACCCAAGTGGAAGCTGGGGTACAGAACACATGTTAAGGTGATAATCATTAGTAATTCTATGCAATCAGTGGGTGCATCTACACATGCATTTATTTGATCCAGGATCAGTTTACTCATGCGTAAACTACTCGCAAGAAAATGTTTGTGGGCAGGCATTTACACATGTAGGGAACTGAGAGCAGGTTTGCTGCCAATGGCAGCAAACTGCTCCTGTTTCATAGGGCCATGCAGTGGGCCCCTACCGCCACGAGGGGGAGTGCTAGGCAGAGAGCACCAGGCCAGGAGACAGCTATCTCCTGGCCAGGGCTGGGACATTACCCTGCTCCCTGCCCCAGCAGCAGGGAGCTCTTGGCCCTGGCTCCTTAATCAGGGACGGGAAGCTTGGAAAGAGCTGCAGGGGAGGGGCAGGTCCTACCTTCCTGCTCCGATGGACTGGTGGAGCAGCTAACAGCTAGCTCACTGCTACCTTTGCCACCAGCAGATTGGAGCAGGAGCCTGGGATCTACCCCACCCCTGTAGCTCTTTCCAAGCCCCATGCCTTGATCACCCAATTGGGGCACAGGGATGGGAGCTACCCCGACCAGGACAGTTCCCATCCCCCAACCCACATGTGGCACAGAGTCTGTGGAGCCTGTTCCCTGCTCAGATCTGCAAGTTCAGAGCTTGGTGGGGAACACGCTGGGGAGTTTGTTCCCCACTCAGCTCCACAAGTGCAGAGCTAGGCTGGGAACAGGCTGAGGAGCTTGTTCTCTGCTCAGCTTCATGAATGTGGTCAGCACTTACTATGGGATGGGAGATTTCTCCCTGCCCCCCAGAAGCTGGGGCAGGAACTATTCCCCCCTGCCTTGACAGCAGGAAGTTCCAAGCCCCCTGCTCTGCCATTGTGATCAGGAAGACAGAAACTAGGACATCCTTATCTCCCAGCACCAGCTTCTTGATTGTGGGGCCTGCATTAGAAGACAAGGGTCTCCCAGTCCTGGCTCTCAGTGTGGAGCTGGTGCTGGGAGCTCCCTGCTGGCGGGGGCTAGGGATCTTGTTCCCTGCTCAGCTCCTTGAAGTTCTCCAGCTTGTTCCTCCACCCAGCTCCATGCTGTGGAGCTGAGTGGAGAACAAGTTTCCCAGCCCCCACTGGCAGGGAGCTCCCAGCACCAGCTCTGCCCCCTGGGGAGAAATCTGCAGGGAGAAATCTGCTACCCTCTGGTGGATGGCTGACCAAGAGCAGCTTTGCTCCTGG